TGGATTAATAAAATGTGGTATATGTATACCATGGAGTACTATTCAGCTTTAAGAAACAATGGTGATATAGCACCTCTTGTATTCTCCTGGATAGAGTTCGAACACATTTTACTAAGTGAAGTATCCCAAGAATGGAAAAACAAGCACCACATGTACTCACCATCAAATTGGTATTAACTGATCAACAGTTAAATGCACATATGAGAATGACATTTATTGGATGATGGGCAGTGGGGTGGAGGGGATGGGTACATGCATACACAAAGAGTGTGATGTACACCATCTGGGGGATGGACACGCTTGAAGCTTGGATTTGCTGGGGTGGCAAGGGAAACATATATAACCTAAACATCTGTACCCCCATAATATGCTGAAATTAAAAAAAATAATAAATAATAAAAAAATAGACCATATGATTCTCTCAATAGATGCAGAAAAAGCATTTGACAAAGTCCAGCACAATTTATGATAAAAACTGTTAACAAAATAGGCATAGATGGGCCATGCCTTAAAATTATCAAGTCCATTTATGATAAACTCATGGCTAATATCATACTGAATGGGGAAAAATTGAAATCATATCCGCTTAGAATCGGAACCAGACAAGGTTGCCCACTATCTCCACTTCTATTCAACATAGTGCTGGAAGTCCTTGCTAGAGCAATTAGACAAGAGAGGAGAACTAAGTGTGACCAAATGGGGGAAGATGAGATCAAACTCTCACTCTTTGCAGATGATATGATATTGTATCTAGAAAACCCCAAGGATTCAACCAAGAGACTCTTAGAATTTATAAATGAATTCAGTAAAGTCTCAGGATACAAAATCAATACACACAAATCAAAGGCATTCATATACACCAATAACAGTCAAGCTGAAATTCTAATCAAAAATTACAATACCGTTTACAATAGCCTGAAAGAAAATTAAATATCTAGGAATATATTTAATGAAAGATGTGAGAGACATATACAGGGAGAATTATGAAACACTAAGAAAAGAAACTGTAGAAGATGTAAACAGATGGAAAAATCTGCCTTGCTCATGGATTGGTAGAATCAATATCATTAAAATGTCTATACTATCTAAAGTGATCTACAGAATTAATACAATCCCTATCAAAGTACCATCATCATTCTTTACAGATCTAGAAAAAATAATTCTATGCTTTGTATGGAGCCAGAGAAGATATCATATAGCCAAAGAAATCTTAAGTAAAAAGAACAAACTGGGAGGTATCAGTCTACCAGACTTCAAGCTGTTCTACAAGGCTATAGTTATTAAAACAGCATGGTACTGGCACAAGAACAGAGATAGACCTTTGGAATAGGACTGAGAATCCAGAGATGAAACCATCACATATGGTAATCTAATCCTTGACAAAGTAGACAACAATATACACTGGGGAAAAGAATCTCTTTTCAATAAATGGTGCTGGGAAAACTGGATAGCTACATGCAGAAGAATGAAATTGGATCCCCACCTCTCACCTCCCATGAAAATCAAATCAAGATGGATAACAGACTTAAACCTAAGGCATGAAACCTTAAGAATTCTAGAAGAAGATGTTGGGAAGACCCTTTCAGACATTGGCCTAGGCAAAGAACTGTTCAAGATGACCCCCAAAGCAATCACCACAGCAACAAAAATAAATAAATGGGATTTGATCAAATTAAAAAGCTTTTGGACAGCCAAGGAAACTATCATTAGAGCGAATAGACAGCCTACAGAATGAGAGAGAATATTTGCTCTCTACATATCCAATAAAGGGCTGATAACAAGAATCTATCTAAAGCTTAAAAAAAATCAACAACAACAACAACAAAATCAAACAACCCCATCAATAAATGGGCAAAGGAAATGAACAGAAACTTTTCAAAAGAAGACAGAATAATGGCCAGCAAACATAGAAAGAAATGCTCAACATCTCTAATCATTAGAGAAATGCAAATCAAAACCTCAATGAGATATCACCTAACCCCAGTGAGATTGGCTTCTATCAAAAAATCTCAAAACAACAAATGCTGGCAAGGATGTGGAGAGACTGGAACATTCTTACACTGCTGGTGGGACTGCAAATTAGTGCAACCTCTGTGGAAAAGAATTTGGAGATACCTTAAAGAGCTAAAGATAGAAATACCATTCCATCCAGCAATAGCACTATTGGGCATCTACCCAAAAAAGCAAAAGACATTCTATAATAACGACATCTGCACCTGAATGTTTACGGCAGCACAATCCATTATTGCAAGGATGTGGAAACAACCTAAGTGCCTGTCAATTCATGAGTGGATTATTAAAATTTGGTATATGTATACAATGGAATATTACCCAATTATAAGAAATGACAGTGATCTAGCACCTCTTATATTTTCCTGGATAGAACTTGAGCCCATTATCCGAAGTGAAGTATAACAAGATTGGAAGAATGGGTTCCACATGTACTAGCCATCGAATTGGCACTGACTGATCAGCTCTATAGTGCTCACATGGTTGTAACATTCTCCAGGGACTGGAGGGTTGCGGGTAGGTAAACTCACAACTGATGGACGAGGTGAGCACTGTAGAGAGGAAGGGCATGCCTCTAATCCTCGCTTGCGTGAGACAAAGACATAAAATGTAACCAAAATGTTTGTACCCTCATAATAACCCTTGCTCATGGATTGGTAGAATCAATATCATTGATTCTACCAATAAAAAAAAAATAAAAATAAAAACAAAGTATCTGTTTGAGAAAAAGGAAAAAAAATAGAAGGGCTAAATAATGGTATAGATAAAAGTGAAGACAAAATTGGTAAAGTGGATAAAGTCAGGAAAAAAATGAATTACTAAAAAGCTTAAGAAAAATATAGGCAAATAGGTTTATAATATTATGTGGGGAAGACTTTCCTAAGAAAGACATACAATGTGGAAGCCATAGGGAACACTATTCAAACTTATTTCTCTCTCTCTTTTTTTTTAATTTCAGCATATTATGGGGGTACAGATGTTTAGGTTACGTATGTTGCCCCCCCCGCCCCCCAAGTCCGAGTTTCAAATATGTCCATCCTTCGGGTGGTGCGCATTGCACTCTTTGTGTATGCAAATACCCGTCCCCTCCTCCCCCCTCCCCCCTCCCTCCTGCCCAACATCCAATAGATGTTATTCTTATATGTGCATTTATGTGTTGATCAGTTAATACCAGTCAAACTTACTTCTCTTGAGACCACTTTTGGTAATTTTTTTAGTAGGAAACTGAGCATTTGCTACTAAATATTTCAGTTTTGTAGTGATAGTGTTGCTTCTCGTATTCTCTTATAAATCTTTAAATCTTACTGCAGTTATATGTCTTTTGTCATTCCTAATGTATGTTTATGCTCTATTTTTTTCTTAAATAGGCTCAGAAAATTTTCATGGATGTTTTTGTTTCTTATTTGTCTTTGCAAAGAACCAGCTCTTGGTTATATTTGTTCTTTCTACAATTTTAAAATTTCTGCATCATTATTTTCTGCCTTTATTTTTCCTTCTTAGATTCTCTTGCTTATTTTTTTTATGCTTTGAGATTTATTAAAATAAAAAATGAGTTTGTTTTTCACATTTCTTGTTTAATAATGAAGGAATTTAAAACCAAATTTTTTTTCTTTGAGTGTAGATTTTACTGTTCTTTTTCATTGTTTTCTTATATAGTTTGTAATTGTACTCTTGATTTTGTTTTTATTAAGGAATTCCCAGAAGTGCTATTAATTTTCAAGCACTTAAGATTTTGGTCACCTTTTAATTACTTACTTCTAATTTTGTTAGATTATCAACAAAACATGTACCCTGTAAAAATCTCTATAGAGGGAGAAAAAGGAACAGATGGAAGAGTGAATGTAATTAAACAAATAATGGGAGACTATTTCCCCTGAGTTCAAGGAAAACTTGAATCTACAGAATTAAAATCATCATCAAATTCCAGACAGGACTGCTGAGATTTACTCATAGTCATAGCTTCATAAAATGATTGATAAATTGATCAATTATGATCAATGTACCCAAACAATATATATTTATTTATTGAGGGACATAAGTTTCTATATATACCTGTTAAATTAAGGTTAGGTAACATTAGTTTCTTTAAATTTAAAGCTTGTTATTACATTACTTCAATCCTTAAAGAGGTATACTGAAATCTACCATAATTGTATTTCTTGAGTGTTGTCCTTGCATTTATAAAATTATTAGTTTGCATATTCAGTTGGTATGTTATTTGTGCATACAAATTTATAATTATATCTTATTAAGTTGTGTCTTTTTCATTATCAAATATTTTTCTTTATCCTGTTTAGCATTTTTAAGTTTAAATTCTACTACACAGAAATTTGTTTCTTCATCTTTGATTTTTTTCATTTGCATTTGTGTGATATATCTGTGTCTATCGCTTAATTTTAAACATTATTTTTTAGAAAAGCACTTAGATTACACATTCTTGGTATATAATTATCCATTTAGATTTATCACCTATTTATACATAGCAAGGCTTACTGCTCACCATTATAACCTCCTTAATTTCCCCAATCTTGAGGTTACTATTTCGTTCATTTGTTGTTTCATTAGAGTCCCTGTGTTTAGGTATTTTCCTCATATTTAGGCTCATGTATAATACCTATCTGCACCACTGGCTTTTGTTTGTTAGACACATGTTTTCTCTGTTCTGATTTTCCTCTATCCGAAAGATGGTCATACAGGGGGCTCAGGGTCTCATTATTAAAGATCCACATTTGGTACTGATCCAATGAGTGGTGGAAGTGAATGGTACAGTGGGCTCAAATTTGACCTTGTGGTGGAGTTCCCCACAGAAGTAAAGGAACTCTCTTTGCTCCCAAGACTTCTTTCTCTCTCCCCACCTCAGGCATAGGAGGCCACAGCACACTTCTGAAACTATTCCTAGGTCTTCTGGGCACTCAGTAATATCAGATATAATAGGTGAATGTCAGCTTTCCCCCAGAAAGTCCAGATCCCTGGTATTCTTTACCTTATTAAAAGGCTCAATTAGCCTTGAGGCACCTGCCCAGTGCATGCAAAAGACAGTCTATTCGTTCTCACAGAAAATAAGGTCTTATTTGCTACCAGTCCCAGTATACATTTGGCTCATATAAGAAAAATGGACTACAGCTGTGAGCAAAAGGGTAACAAATACCTTCAGGTTGCCAGATGCCCAGAAAACTCTCCATAATGGAAAATATGGACAGATTTGACTACATAAAAGTTAAAAATCCAGTACAATTAAAATATTGAGAAACAAAGATTAAAAAAAATAGAGCAGGAACTAACCAACAAGCAGTTGTTACACACTGAATGCCAAGCAAGCAAACAAAAATCCCCTCAAAACAAAAAAACTCCACTAACTCAAATGAGCAAAAGACACATCACAGAAGATGAGACAACCTCATTAGTAATCAGAGAGTTACACATTTTAGAAGGATATAAATTATTATTAGTGCTATTATTATTTTGGGTTTAGATAAAGATGAAACAGTTATTCTTATATACACTAGGTATAGAAAAAATTTGTTTGGAGAACAGTTTGATTGGATGTATTTTTTAAAAATAATTATGTGTCCTCTAATCTGGCAAACCAGCTTTTAAGAATCTGCTATGCATGCATAAATGTGAATACACAGACATGTTCTCTGATGCATTGTTCACTAACAGGACAAAGGTTAAGTAAATTATGGTACATCTATTCTCCAGATTCTCAAAACATAAAAAAAAGAAATGAAGTAGATGCTTCATTGTACCCCTTAGTGTTCATTAACAAACTAAACAAACAAAACAAGTAAACATAACAAACTAAACTTGCAGAACTTGCAAAACTTGCAGACCCATCTGTATAATGTGCTAGCATTCATGTGAAACCTAACAAAAAGTTAAAATTAGATTATCTTATACAAATATATCTGTATTATACACACCCACACTGCAAAGAAAATCAAACCTTCGACAGCATTTATCTATGAGATAGGACATAAAATTGATGTTTTGAGGGGAGTTGAAGAGGGCATTCTACTATTTCTTTCTTTTCTTGATCCCACCCTCCTACAGAAATTTTATCTCTTATGTTCTCCTATATTGCCTGAATTTTCTTTAACCAAGATTATTTATTAACTTTGCAATTAAAATGTCCCCCACACATTTTTATGCAGAAAGAGATATCAAGTGATTTGCCAACAGAAAAATAGTAAATTTTACATTTTTTATGTATTATAAAATACAATATTGATTATAATCTCCAGTCCTTAATAGAGGTTAAATTTTAAAGAAGGACGGAAAGTAAAATTATTGCATCAAAAGTTGTAAAATGAGTTTTACTGTTAGGGTTATTAGAACATCAATGTATACTTACTTTCAGATCCTTGGAAGATACTGGTTAATTGAAATGATTCTGAAGCTAATTTATCATTAGTTCTCATAAAATAGTCAAACGTATTTAAAAATTAACTGTTCTGTAGATTGATATATACAGGCTATCCTTAGAAATGATGTTACTATTTACTTAAAACAAAAGCCATACTTACAACAAAGACTGGACTGAACTGGTCCAAGTTGTGGAAAGGTCATAAGAACAGAAATCCCTGGTAGATCACTTTGCTTTGGATGTTCCATAGTTTGGTCAGCCCAAACCACTACTTTTTTCCTCTCTACCAAATGTTCAATTTCTTTGAAGTCAGACTCAAAAGCAGCATTTGACAGGCCAGCTTCTTTTAATGTGCAGTATTGTTTTCTTAGGGTTGGAAGTAAAGCATTCAATACTCTATACAAAGAAGATGACAAGAAAGGAAAGATAAATACTAAATTTAAAATACATTTTTATACTTCTTTTGTATAACACCTAAAGTATTAGCATATCATTAAAATGATTCCCTGTGTATGTTTTCTTTTACAATATGTTATTTCAGTTATATACTTCAATATATTCTTAATACATTAAGTACAGAGTGGAAAGAATCTCGAATAGGAATTATGAGAACCAGGCTCTAGTCTCAGATAGTTTTCACTTGTTTCTATGTGACATTGGACAAGGCACAAACTGAAGTTTCTCCTTATTATGTGGGGGACAACTAGACAGCCACTACTTATAATAGGAGATTGTTTTGAGGACTAAATGAGTTAAATGTACATAAAAGCTTTTTGCAAAACATAATGTGATTTCTAAACCACAAATATTGTTATTATTACTAATTATCATGGGATTGAAATCAAAAGTTAACATATTATGTCAAATGATAAGACTCATATCTTAGGTATATAACATTAAAACACACATACACATACACAAAAGAACAAAGCCTAACCCTCCTTTACATTAAAAAACCTAAACCAATGGCTTTCACAATGAGATTGAAAGGGGTTTCAAAAAGAAAAGTTGTGGACAAGGATGGTGGGTAAGAAGAATCATTAGGGCACTAGATTCTTGGCTCTGATTCAAAGTCTCTCTTATCACCAGTAAGAACAGCACTGAATGTATCCTTTTATGTCTAAGACTTCCCTGTAAGTGTTCACTGAAGAAATGTCACAGCTAAACACTTATAAATCTATACATTCAAAAATGGTTTTAACTTTTATATAAAGGAAGATGCCTAACAACATGAATGATGTTGAAATGATTCAGTCCTGGTATACTGAGGCAGTCAATAGACTCATAATATCCAGGAGAATGGAACCATTTGAAGTATAGATAGGGCAGCGGGAAAAGAATAATTAGGCATTAATTTAAATATACAAGGAAATAACTACATTAATATCTAGGAATCTTAAATATTTAGATAGCAGTATAAATAATCTGTGATCTTTTTCTTTTTGGTGGGGGTTGGCAGGCGGTATGCCATTTAAGTGAAGTAGATATCAAGTATAGAGAAAAGTTATTAATCAAAAAGTCAAGAAAACAATTATTTATTGAGCACCAACACTAATCAAGTACTGTACAGAAGCATTAACATAGTAGTAAGTCTGAGACTGCTAAGAAAGGCTTGCTTGTAAAGTTGGCCCTTGGCTTACATCTTAAATCACTGATTTTGGGAGGGTTCCCATCATTTCCAGGACTAATAGGAGAAGAATGGCTTACTGTGCTTAAATTGTTTGTATAAACAATGTGGTTTATGCTGAACACCTGCTTTCATTCTGAAAAGCCTAGAATTTTGGTACATGGTAGGCAGAGGGTGCCCATGCAACAAGGTCCCAGTAAAAACCCAAGGCACTGAGTCTCTAAAGAGCTTTCAAAGAAGAAAACATTTTACATGTGCTGCCACAACTTTTGGCTGGAAGAATTATGCACATTCTGGAATGCTCCACTGGAAGAAGACTCTTGAAAGCTTGTGTATGATGTCCTCTAGTCTTTGTGTCCTATGCCATTTTCTTTTGCTGATTTTCCTTTGTATCCTTTTGTTCTAATAAATCATAGCTGTTAGTACCACTATGATGAGTCTTGTGAGTCCTCCTAGTAAGTCATTATACTTGGAAATGGTCTTGGGGACCCATGACATAAGAATTATATCATGTTATTTATTTTTATGTTATTTAATCTTTTCAAAACCTTTATATGACATGTATTATAAGCTATTTTTACATATAAGAAAAGTAAGGCTTAGCAAGTTTAAATAATTAATGCCAGGCTATATCGCTAATATAAGCTAGAATTCAAGACTGATTCCAAAACTCATATTATTTCTACTATGCCACATTGCCTCTGTGATGCTCTGGTTTACCAATTTTCTAAATAAGGGAATTAGTCACAGTCCTTTTTGATCCATTTTGAGGTAAAACTTTATCTTAAGTATACTAATTTATGTGTCTGATATAGCAAATACAGTATGTTTAAAATAAATTAATGTTTCTTTGATGACTTCAGCTCTTGCAGGTGGTTTGTGTGCTAGGAAATGAATATTCAATGTCTGTTCTAGGTATACACATAGAAAGGAAGGGAAGATTAGTTTGAGCTTCCACCCACAGAAAAACATCTCCCTGAAGTTTTTCTTTTCCTTTTTCTTCTTCTTTGTAAAAATAGTTTATGAATATGATTTCCTCTAAATAAAAACTATGGAAAATTAAATATCAGTTATTTGAGAACACCAGTAGAACACTAATAGATTTTTAGTGTAGCAGAAAGCCCTTAGAGAAATAAATTCTACATTTTTATAGAGGATCAAAGCTATGCCTAAGGGAGTTCACTGACTTACACAAGGTGACAAAAAAAGATTAACACATTGACTGCCACACCAGGAAAAAAAAATTTTTCCCTGGAGTCATGGTATTTTATTATGAAAATAGAATAAAAACTTTGAAAACAAAATGATCCTTTTTAATTTAATGAAAAATTTGTTATTTTTATTGTTTTCTATGTGTGAGTTATATGCAACTTGAAAAAAATAGTTCATGTGGCTGAAGATAAAGAGACATGTGAACCTGAAGCATCAGGTTCAAAAATAGCGTGAGTTAAATACAACTCACATGGTAGTTAATGTGTTAAGCTATGCTTTTGCTTGCTATTATGTTTTAAAAATTAAATGACTAACATGTTACCATGGAGCTAGTAGAGAGTGCATAAAAGAGCTGCTATAGCATTACGGAAAAATCAGGACACCTGATATTTAGCAACTTCATTTTAATGATAGCAAAAAAATCATTATGGAATTATGAATAATTAACAATCGCCTGCTTAAAAATTCAATAGGTGTTAATAGTGATTGCTTCTAAGAGGGGAAATGGATGGCTGGAAGACAGAGGTAGAACACAGACTCCTGTTCACTGTATATGTATTTATGAAATTTTTAACTACATGGCACATATTGAACCACGTCTATACTCTCTCAGTGTTTTCTGATGCTGGCAGAAATTTAAAAACAATGTATCCCATACCAGATAAAACTCAACTTTCTGGCAGTGGAAAATTGAACTTTAATCCTTCATATACTTTAGGTCTACAGTGTTAAGACCGCAGAATAGGTAAATTCATGTACTCACGCCTCAGTCTGCCTGTGTTGTTGTTCTTGAAGACAAGCGAGATCCACCATATGCCTAATTTGTGCTTTCAAATCTTTGTTCTGGAGATGCAAATGGTGACAGTGAAGATCCTTATTGAGTTCCTAGGGAAAACAATGCAAAATATATTTCAGATTCTTTTAAGAATATTAAAAGTAAATGTTTTAATAAAACATATTGATACCAATAATTTCCATTTTTTTTTTAGATATTAAATGAAATGTTTAGAAACAATTTGAAAAATAAGAGTTCTGGTATAGGTGGTTTATAATATACAAGCAAGATCAGGTTTCAAGTTTCCTTAGAAACTGAATGTTAGGAATTAAGAAGAAATTTTGCTATGATGACAGCTTCTTGGTCTATCTAATTTGTTCACAGTGTTGTGAAAAGACATAAATATGACCAGTTTTTGCTTAAATGTCACTGTCCCAGGGAGGCTTTCCCTGAGCGCTATATTTAAAGATGAATACCTTCTACCCTCTAATACTGTCATAGCATTGATCAGTAATAACTTAATTTTTTCATTCATTTCTTTATAGTTTTTCTGTCTGTACCTGAATGTATGGTTTACCACCAGGACAGGGACTGTGTCAGATTAGTTCAGTGTTACAGCCCCAGCATACAGTGTCTGGAGTTGGGTGCAATAAAAATTTCTTGCCCATACCCACTCTTAGTAAAAGCTTCATCCTAGGCAAAAGTGTGAAAATGTCTTTTGCAGGTTCCATTTTCCTAAGCTTCATCTGCATATGGCCAGGTGTCCTTTAATCTGTTACCTAAAATTACTTGCCTTTCCTCAAACTTACTAACTAAAGTACAGACAACATCAGTTAAGTGATTACACTCACTAAAGTATGAATGGATTGGTAACCCAAAAACATTCTCAGAGTCTTTAATTGGGAAAATTTCAGTCCAGAATGAAACTTTCTGGATATTTTTAATCGCTGAGATAGCAACCCCATACTCAGGGGAGCTATGCCTGAAACTTTCTCCTAGGGACAATTCCCTTAATCCCACAATACATTTTAGCTTGGGAAAACAATGCAAAATAAACTTCAGATTTGTTTAAGAATATTAAAATTAAATCTATTTTAATAAAACTTCCCAATCTGCAGTTGACCTCTTTGATTCTCTAAAACCTCAAAGCTGTTTTTTTCTTTCTTTTTAAAAATATTTCATATGCCAGTGAAAGGGAGTATCATAGAGAAACAATGTCATTCTATTTGTCTAAGAAATATGAAATCTAGGAGTTATTTATGGAGTCAGGATGATAGAGTTTGAGCACTGGCCTATTTGTCATATGATTTTAGAGATGGGCTTAGCCTTAAAACAAATGTCAACTTAAGCCAAATATATGGCCTTATGGAGATCAGTTTACTTGACTAAAATCTCAGAGCTAAAAAAAATAAAAATTAAAAAAAAATAAAATTTCAGAACTAGATCAGATGATCTGTTTATCTTCTTCAATCACTCTTCTTTGGAAGAGACAAGACTTGATTGTATAAGTACATTAGGCAATAATGGGTCTTGGCTAGCTCGTTATCTTTGGAAACTAAGTTTACAATCTGAATCTTTTGTCTTGACACACTAATGAGTGAGTTTGATTGGAAGAGCATGGCCTACTCTGATAACTACAAGTAGGCTGGTATAGAGTATAGCGAGAGGTGATAGATAAAGTTTGAGAAGTATTCAGATGCCAGACCACGCTAGACCTGGCAAATCATAATGGTGAGTTTATTCTAGGGAGAAGGCACTGAAAAGCTTTATGATCAGGGTTATCTATTAAAAGCTCATTTTGGTTGCTATGGAGAAAATGAACTGCATAAAACCTGAATGAAAGCATAAAGACCAAATGTTCAATAATGGGGGATGGGAGTCTGAATTAGGGTAATGGAAGTAAGGCATAGAGAGAAGTAGATAGGTTCAGGATGTTAAAAAGTAAGTAACATAGGAGAGTATAGAGAAAACAGCACCAATTTGAAAGTCAGAAGTACTGAGTCTTTGTCCAGAATTGTATGACCTTGGATAAGTCCCTTTATCAAGTTATGTCTCAGTTTGCTTATGTAGAAAATAATGGCTTATAACTAGATAATTATATCAGTTGTGAAAATATCTGCAGAAAAAAGAATGGAGGGGAAGATTCTGGGGGTGGGAATAGAAGTTTTAATTTCAATATTTTTCAAGTTACTTGTGATAAAATGCATAGTTGAAGTTGAGCTATAAATAAGAATGTTGAT